TATTCTAACAATACAATTCTTAGTAGACTCTTGGATAGCTTCAGGTTGGGGGGATGGTCTAAGAAACACCAAGCCATGAATAAAAACATTCAAATTTCACCCATATCACTGTCCTTCAGGAAGGGGTATGGGGCTAGAAATTGAGTTAATAATTGATCATGCCTATGAGATGAAGCCTCTATAAAAATTCCTAAACAATAAGATTCAGATAATTCTATATTGGTGATCTCATATATGTGTCAGGAGGTTTGTACCCTAACTTCATTGAGATAGACCTTGTCCCATATACTTCTTCATCTGGTCATTCATTTGTATCTTTCATAATAAACTGGTAAGCATGATTAAAGCATTTCAGTGAATTTTATGAGCTATGACAGAAAGTTATAAACCCTGAGGAGGGAGGGGGTTATGGGAACACTCAATTTGTAACCAAGGAGAATGAAAGTGTGGGTAATCTAGGTATTCAATATTTGCAAGCGGTAACTGAAGTGGGAAAGAGGCAGTCTTGTGGGATTGGGCTCTTAACCTGTGAAAGATGTTAAGGTAGTGTTAGAAATTTCAAGGAGGAAAAAGAATTAGGATTTGTTTGGGGCATTTAAAATGGAGTTTTATATATTTTATATAAATATACTTTTTTTATATTTTTATTTAGAGACAGGGTCTCACTGAGTTGCTTAGGGCCTCACTAAATTGCTGAGGCTGACTTTGAACTTGAGATCCTCCTGCCTCAGCCTCCCAAGCTGCTGGGATTACAGGCATGCGCCACCATGCCCGGCTTGGATTAAGAATTTGAATGGATTACTGGATGATAACTGTAGGCAGGTGGGGCATGGCTGGAGGAAGTAGGTCACTGGGGGCATGCCCTTGGGGATTTTATGTCTTGTCTATGGCTCTTCTCTCTCTCTGTGCTTTCTGGCTGCCATGATCTGAACAATTTTCCTCTGCCATGCCCTTCCACCATGATGTGGTGCCTCACCTCAGGCCTAGGGTAATGAATTGGTTCTGAAACCATGAGCTCAAACTCAACTTCTCTTCCTCTAAAATTGTTCTTGTTGGGCCTTTTGGTCATAGTGATGAAAAGCTGGCTAACACAGAGCTATGTGTGTTTTAAGTGTGTGATATGGATCCCGTGATATTTGAGAACCACTATAATGCTACCTACTCCCGTTGGTAGGCAAAAAATACCTCTTTTAAATATATTTAGGTCTCTAGGTGATATGTTAACATATGTGTAGGTGATACATACAAGGAGAAATGGGTCTCATCTTTGGAAATTGCACTGGACAAAGTTGGAGATGGAAAACTGTATATTAGAAACTCACTGCTACTTGATGCCAAGAAGCATCTTTCTCCCTTTCCTCAGACCATAAATGACCTTCCAATGCCATGAATGGAGGTGCTTTAGTATCCTCCCACCCACCTTTTCTTTCACTGGTGGTACTGGGCCATTAAGTACAGGGCCCATCAAGAAATTTCAGCCCCTCTCCATCGCCTCAGTGTTGGGCATGGGTAACCTCCAGCTTCCATGGTACAAGATCTTTCTGGCCATAGGCAGCAGTGACAATTGCTTCAAGTGTCAATTCAGCCTTTATTTCTCGACCTTTCTGGGAACCTACTCATAGTAAAGGAATGATATTGCTGTTTTTTTCTCAGGCCACCATTGTCACATCAGCATCACAGAGGCTCACCCAGCACTAGGAAGGTATTTACCTTGAGAGAAAAGGCCAATATATTTTTTAATCCCTGACTCAAGATACAGAGGAAGAGAATTGCTTAGTATTGTGGTTCTGATGATTTCAGAGGTGTCCAAAGTCATCTGAGATAAGAGCTCAATGAAAGTGACTGTGCCACACTGCATGACTGAACAGCAGGGAGTTGTACGGCCCATTTTAGCAACAGGAAGAGATTATACAATGTCCACCAATATTAATGCTCAGTGCATATCTGTTGAATGTAAAGTAGCTGCTAAATGTTGGAGATAAAACCATCCATAGACATATTGTCCTTTCTGCCCTTGGGGACCTTAGAATCTGGTACGAAGACAGTATGATTCCTACAGCAAGGAGAGAACATGAGCCACCCAGCCTCTGTTCAAGGAAGGAGGGTAGGATAATTTGGGAGTGCAGCTAGTTTCCTCATGAGGAATTGGAGATGCTCTTCTGATATGGCTTGCATCGATCACACCTCTTCATTGTTTTTCCCTTGATTTTTGAGTACATACATAATGAGTCAGAAAAAGTAATATTTTCTATTGGTGTTTGTCTTGGTAATTTCCTTTTCAAAGAAATTGCAGTAAAGGAGTATATTTTCTCCTTGAACGGTTCGCGGGAAAAAAAGACACATGAAGTCTTAGCGAACATTTAATAAATTTAATAAATTAATAGGAAGTATCACAAAAACTTGGAATGGATAACATACAGGAATCAAGAATAAGACAACACTTTGCAACCATTCACAAAAAGTACCATTTGACAAAGGAGAAGAATTACAGGAAATAATATAAGGCAGTCTGTTGCACGTGTCTTAACAGTTATACATATATAATAGTACTTCAAAATGATTTGTTTGACAGTAAATTCACCACGTTTACATTTATCACACACTTTTTTTAAAACATTTATAAAATTTTGTAGATTTAACATTGAACTGTAAGATTTATATCCCAAATGAGTATATTTGTTTCATACCAAACTGCACAGAACTTACGAATAGCACACAATTTGAAGATAATTACTGTGTTGGGTACTATTAAGTACTACTACTTGATGACATAAGAGTTATTAACAAATGTGCTATAAGCTATTATCATTCAACTTATTGCTAGTGCTTTTAGAAATCCACGATTTATATTTCAATTCTCTTTAAAACATGTGCTATGAGCTTGCCCTGATAGTTAAGAAATCAGATGTTTCCAATTTTCTCTCCTACTCACGCTACTTCAGATCTGAATGCATGGTCTTTGAAAGGACTGCCGGAAGATTTTCTTCAGTCCTTTTTGTATCAGCTACTCTGCCCTACATTAAAACATATCAATGGATTCATGCAACATACATGGAGTACATGCAGGGCACCATCTGTATGTGCAGAACTCATGCTGGATGCATGCTGGGTCTTCAGACATCTTCGTTTCAGTAAGAATTAGATCACCTCATTCAATTTCAGGTAATTGTTTTAACATGCAGTTCAACTGACCTAACAGGCAGGTAGACTTGACTTTCATGTTATATTTGGGCATGCTCAAGCAATTGACTGACATCTGGCAGTGTTGTAAATCAAATAGAGACTGTATGAGTTTCCTCGAATACAGCCGCTCTCCACTGCCCCAGTGGCAGAACTGTTGGATTTTTCTATGCTGTGTGTTGAGGACACAGACCAGGGGTTTTGGAAATTCAGATTCTGCATTCACCAGTGTTAAGATACTAAGAGGCACACTCCAAGGTGTGCAAGTAACTGTCAGGCATAAGAAATAGCATCATGAATTCTTCGGAAATTTATCCACAGTTGTGTGAAATGGACACACATGGAAACACAGTTACTGCAAACACGCGTATACTCTGCACACAGCATAGACTTAATGGTCTTAATTTAGCAATGCTTGAAAACCTGTCATGGTTTACAAACTACTAAAATGGTACTGAATTCTTAGAGAGCAGCAGGCCCACGAATGAAACAATGGCCAACACTTATTATAGCACAACACTATATTTGAACAAAGATTTAAATTTCTGGTACATTAATTGCAGTACAATGAAGAGCTTGCCACTTTCACAAATAAGCTGCAGCCTTTTCCTGCACTAGAGAGTTTGGAAGGATCTGAAAATGAGATAAATTTTGTTTAAAATCCCAATGGAAACTCTGTATTTCTGTTATTCCCAGAGTTCAGTAAAAGCGTATTTTTAATTACTTTTTCACATTCTAAGGGCCTAATTCGGTAGTCCTTGATCAAGTAAAACTTCCCAGGTTCTCGCTGTCTACGCCTTCCTATATAAGTTTTACTTAAAAACGGACTGCTAAATTGGGTCCTATAGATAGAGGTACCATAATTAAGAAAATATTTTAATAAGGCTCAAAATGCTAATTTCACTTTGTGTGTAGCACACGAATTTCCAGAATTCTGAGATCAAAACCCAATTGATGTTGAATCCTGGAATGGGAAATAACTCTGGGGTCTCGTTTCCCAGTTTATTTACGGAATTAGGTATTTACTAAGGACCAGAATGAAAACACTAATTCCAGTTTGCTTGTGGTAAGAATCAGAATTTGAACATTGTCCTTAAGAAGTGAAAAGCTTTTTGGTGTATATTTCTCTTTGTCATCCTTCCACTTCTGTAGTCCTGGTTAACCAGCTGCTATGTTAAAATACCACTATGTTTGGGGACAGACATTGCAGCAAAATACCGACACAACATTCCGACAATGTCAAATTTTGCCCCTATATGTAACATCAAGGCTAAGTTCTGCCTTTGACTCACTGATGGATGTTGCACTAGGCAGAACCTATTTGACTGTGTTTATGTGTGTAGATGAAGCAGAGCAAGAGTTTAAAGTACATATTTACTGTTAACCGGGAAAGAGATTCCACTGAATTTGCCAATTTAGGTGTGGTTGAAATGTAACCACTGTCACGTGCATCATTCTGGTCTCCTGCAAATGCCACCTGAGAAGAACATCAACGTTTCCACATGCCCAAAGGAAATAGAGAAAGAGACACAGGAAGGAAGAAAGGAAAGAAGGAAGTAAGGGAGGGAGGGAATGAAAAAACACAAACACTTTATTCATCAAAGAATCAAAATAACTTAGTCTCCATCTATTATAAACAGTAAATATAGAACCCTAAATCTCACTGTTGTAGGCATGATTGTAAAGTACAGGGTTGCAAAGCTATATATAAAACACTTTTTTAGACAGCAATATTTACATTAGTTATGACCGACAGAAATTAGAGAAGAAATTTTTCCTACACGCGTAGCCTCACTGTAGGACGACTGTGTTGCTTTGTCCTACACACTACTAATCCTCTCGCTAACCACATTGGAGGGATTTTCTGGGAGCTCCAGATTCTCAACCTGCATCTCTATACCTGGCTCGCTGGCTTTAGGCTTCCTAACAGCAGGTTCGTTGGTATGGCGATAAATGTTAACGTTAAGCTCCCTCCCAGACAAAGCAGTGGCAGCAACTCTGGATATCGGTATCTGCCTGATAGGAGGCTTTTTGTCAGGCTTATAATTGCAGCGCAAATAGTTGGAGAAAGCCCTTCGGTAAACTTTGTTGAACAGAGTGTACACCAGAGGATTAATTCCTGAACATACATAGCCAATCCAAACAAACACATTCAGAAGCTTTTCCATGAGCTTTTGGTTACAGGCTTTCTCGCAAAGAACCGACAGAATATTGGTAATGAAAAAGGGGCACCACATGATCAGAAACACAAAGAACACAATGCCAAGGACTTTCGACGCTTTCTTTTCATTGTTGATCGCCTGCATGGTGCCCCTGGGGCGCTTTTCCTTCTTCTTTCTTTTGCGCACAACATTCGTATCAGGATTGGGGTTCGCCGGGGGCTCTTCGTCAGCGGTGTTCCTCTTGCAGCACTTCAGAAAATCCAAGCCGATTCCCTGCAGCTCCTCCTCCGAGCGGCCTTGCAGCAGCATCTGGGCTTGTCTGCGCAGAACGTAGATCGTCAGGCAATAGGTGATCACCATGATCGTCAGCGGGATGAAGAACGCCACGAAGGAGCCGATCAGAACGAAGTTTGGGTCGTTAAGCACGCACGTCGTGTTGTTGACGAACACCTTGTCTTCATCCCTCAGTCCAATCACGGGGATGGGAACTGAGACACCTAAAGAAATAAAAAGAAACTGGGATGTTGCTAAAGCATATGGAAGGATTGAACAGATTTGTGCATCAGGATAACGTTCATTTGCATTTCATTGAAGGAAATTTAGGGGATGTTTGTTGATAGCTATTCATGGCATAATTAGTAGTCTCATGAAATGGTAGCAGAATGATAACAGAAAATGATTGATAGCTTTCTTCTTCTTAGGAATGCCTTCTCCTTAAATTTCTATAGAAGGCATGGAATCACCATTATTGAGATAAGGTATTCGATATGGTTATGTCTAAGAGCAGACTGAGTCTGCTCTGTCATGTTTCCAGTTCTTAGGACTGTCTCAGCTCAGAAGGCACTCAATGGGTATTTGTTGAAACAAGGAATACATTCACATCTGTTTGCAATGACATTACCAAAGCCAATCATTCTTTTTTTTAAGCATATGTCTTCCAAATTCGATTAAAAAAATGACATAGCATTTAAGGGTTGACTGGACTCTATCTGACCATTATGCTAAAATATAAGCAGAAACCAAAAATATTCTTTTTTTAGTAAGGTTTCTTGATTGTTTGTTTTTCAATATCTGGGCATAAGCAGCATTTGTTTCAAGGACAGGAGATAGAGAGAGGCTGGGGGTATAGCTCAGTGATAATATGGGTTTATGAATAAGAGGCCCTGGGGATTAGATCCCTAGGGGAATGGAGGAAGGAGGGAGAGAAATGCCAAATTGGGAGAGATATGGTTCTCCTATTTCAAGGTCGAATTTTGAGCATTTTTGTTTATAAGAATACTGAAAGATAGTACTTCCTTCAGTAAATAGGCAGAAATTATCTATGAGGCCATTGGGGCAGAAGGTGATCTTGTACCTAGGCCTAAGTATAAAATCTAGAAATTTTTCAGAAATAACTCAAGTAGATTTGGAAAAGATCCTGTATCAGTGAGTTGTGATAATTTGCAAGTAAAATTCAAATTTTACTGTTAATTTACCCTATCTTGTGTCCACAGGAAGTTGAAGGTGAGGAAGATTCAGATTGCAATTGGGGGTGGTTTCAGAGATCCTTAGGAATCCTGGGCTGTTGGGTCTCTACATCATGAACCGTGAGAGAAGACAGAAACAGTGTGCTCACAGAGATAGATGCTGACTTCAGGGAACACATAAAAAGTTTGGGGAGCCTGGCACTGAAAGGCCCTACTTGTTGTTTTAACACTTCTAGTTCGATCTAAAATGTTGAGCTACATGATCCAGGAGAAAAAAATGGTCAATATTTCTTTGCTAGAGCTTGCTGAGGATGTTGGTTGGTGTTTAATCCCTAGCAAGATATGAGAAAGAGTGTTTGGGTAATGATCCGTAAGGCTTCTTCCTCACACATTGAATTTCTAGACACAGTGTAAAGAATGTGACAAGAATCCTTTGAGTATTAGGGTCCATTCCTACCTACATCTCTGAACCTAGGCATGCCATTCAAGAAAGTAAGAAAGACCTGAAGTCTCTGGGAGACATTGTAACACAATGCCCCATACTAGTAAGGAGAACTTTGAACACTGGTTAGGAAGAGTGACAGGTATCAGAAGGGGAATAGAGAAGGTTATTTTTCACCAAGTTTGATGAAACACTTGTGAGAATTTCAGGAGCACTTGGGAGCATAAAGTACAACAGAACCACATGGGTTATATTTTTTTATATTTCTTAAGGTAAAAGAAGCAGGTAAGAAAGCTACCAGCTGTATCGCTAGATCCTATATTGAAAAAGTCATAAATATAAGATAATTTCTAGAAAGAATATAGATCAAGCTTGCCTAAAAGAAGTCAGTATTGGCTTATCCTTAATGAAATGTTTTAGCAAAGAGTTAGGTTGCTGGAAGTTTTCTGGAGTTAAGGAAGCTAATATGATATTAAGAAAAGAAGGCTGGGGATATAGCTCAGAGTAGAGTGCCTGCCATGCATGCATAATGCTCTGGTTCAATCCCCAGCACTACAAAAAAAAAAAAAAAAGAGAGAGAAAATGGGTTCTCAAAAACTTTATAGGAGAGGCTGGGTTGTATCTCAGTGGTAGAGTGCTTGCCCATCATGTGTGAGGTACTGGGTTCAATTCTCAGCACCACATAAAAATAAATAAATAAAATAAAGATGCGTCCATCTACAACTAAAAAAAGATTTAAAAAAACTTTATAGGAGTAAACCTTTGAGAACATACTAATTTAGACATACTTTAAAAATCTACCAAATAGGGCTGGGGTTGTGGCTCAGCAGTAGAGCGCTTGGCCTAGCATGGGTGAGGCCCTGGGTTCGATCCTCAGCACCACATAAAAATAAATAAATAAAGATATTGTATCCAACTACAACTAAAAAAAAAAAAAAAAACTACCAAATAATTATACTGTGGACCTGCTTAGGATCTTGATGCAAACAAAAATATTCATGAATAATTGGGAATTTGGACAATTGGCCTTTCAATTATATGATTAATAGTTATTGTGCACCAGTTTTTAGGTGAGGTGTTAATACTGCACTTGTTTAGAAAAATAGCTTTTATATTTTCAGCTAGACATATTAAAATATTTAAGAATGATATGATGTCTAGAATTTATTTCAAGATAATATGGGAAGGAGAAATGGATGGGAGTATTGATGAAACATGATAGTCTATAAACTGATAAATTAATACTGGAACTAGATGATGAGTACTTTATTATATAATTCTAATTCTGTAATCTTTGAAAAATCTCCATTACAAAAAAATTAATAATTTTTAAAAAGTAAAAAAGTGATAAGAAGATCTAGACGTCTTCTCTGAAGCAGACAATAATAACATGTCTATTAAGACTTTAGAGGCTGTAGTGGTGGCTCAGTGGGGGCTGGGGTGGTGGCTCAGTGTTAGATCACTTGCCTAGCATGTGTGAGGCACTGGGTTCAATTCTCAGCACCACATATAAGTAAATAAATTATAGGCCCACTGACAACTAAAAATATTTAAAAAGAAAGAAAAAGAAAAAGACTTCAGACCAAAAAAGTCCCCAAGACTTTGTGACCATTGCTACCTTTGGAAGCGATGATAGGTAGAGCAAAAGACTTGGACCCCTGAGTGGAAACACTTAGCCTTCTTCCTTATGGTTTGACCAAAATGCTATTTTCTGACAAAATGTTTTTGGAAACCTATTATTCCTTCCCAGGATCCTCCAGCAAGAGCAGCAGAGGGTGTAAAAGAGGTGAGTACCCTCTCCAGTGCCTGCCCCCTCCTCCCTCCTAGCAATGTGGAAACTAGATTCTGAGGCTGGAGAATTTGCCTTCACTCTGGAGGTACCCTCCCTAGGGTAAATACACTGAGGTGTGGAGATTCAACTTCCCACACGAAATATTGCACCATCTTCTAGATATTCCTAGAGACACCTGAAGTCTCTGGGGGAAGGCCTCATATACTGGCTGTAAAATCTGGAAGTCAACATCACTCAGAGCCCAGCTCTAGAAAAGTGTTAGCTTGCTTCTGTTAAAAGATTTAGTCACTTTCATAAAGGACTCTTGGGCCTAAAAGTAGGCCTTGTCAAGGGACAACAGAAGAGGGGAGCAGAGTCATTGTAGGTGAACTGAAGTTGTTATTGGATACGTGAGGCCAATTTTATTCCTGGCCTCTCTTTGTATAACTTTTGTACATTGAGGAAAGGGTGATTCTTTCTCCCCCCAGCCCCCATACTGGGGAATGAACTTAGTGGCACCATACTACTGAGCTACATCCCCAGCCCTTTTTATTTTTTATTTTGAGACAGGGTCTCACTATTTTGCCTAGGTTGTTCTGGAACTTGGAATCCTCCTGCCTCAGCCTCCCAAGTCATTGGGACTATAGGCATGCACTATCACACCCAGTTAAAAGGGTTTAACCAGGTTAAGAGTTGCCAATCTTCTCTACCAGGCACTGAGCCTGGTACATATATGGACAACACAGAATTAAATGTGTTATCTCGATTTGGGTAAAGACTCTGTATGTCAGATAATATTTGGTGAAGTAGCTTAACCACTTTACCAAGTCTATACCATCATAAGTTTTGTTTTTAGAAACCATGAATGCAGTCAACAAACATGAAGAAATTCAATATCTTTTGGCAATATCAGATTATAAATAACGAAAACAACAATATAAGCAGTATTAATGACAATATATCATGCATAGACTCTCTTATTCAATACCTTAAAAAAATTAAAAGGTAAGTACCAGCAGTTCTCAAACTGTGGTTCAAGGACCCTGGGGCCTCAGAGATTTTCAGAAAGTTTTTTAGCTTTTGCTTTTCTAACCATTTGTCTTCAGCACCAAATAAATAAATAAATAAAGTTCTTTTAAAAAATCCCCGTCTTCTGATGTTTCTTGAAATTAGAGTTACCTTTCATAAAATTGTTAACATTAACACAACTATTATTGCTGTTGTTACTTAAAATAAAATGAATCATCAAAACTTTAAGCATTTCTAGTTTTAATTTCTAATATGATAAATATCAGTAGGTACAACCCATGTAAAAATAAAGCTCTTTGTAGTACTCAAATATTTTGAAGGGTGTAAAGGGGTCTTGACACCAAAAAGTTTGAGAACTGCTGTTCTTTGTTAATAGATAAAGTTATTGAGACTCTGAAGAATCAACCCAGCAAATGTGTAAATCTTCCTTAGCATTTTAAGTTCAAACAATAGTAATTCATTTGCTATGATGATAATATCAAACAATAGTAATCCATGTGCTACGATAATATCAGGTAAGTATAAACCACGGCAATACTAATAATAAAACACTTTAAATGCATTATCATTCATTTCCATAAAATTTTGAAAGGCACATATTATTAGATGAAGTTAACTTCAGAAAAGTTAAGTAAAATAAGCAAATATAATGGGGTATTTTTTAAATTATTTTTTTAAATACTTGATTTGGCCAAGGAGAAAAAGTAGAAATGAACTACCATTGAAAAAATCATATACCAATAACAACAATTGGAATAATTATAATTACTTTTTATTTAGTGATTCCTA